AAGGGGTTGAGAGTCAAAAGTTCTGGTTTTATTTCTGCTCCTAACTCTCTCTGTTTGTTCTTGATACGCTCATTTGAATCTCCAGATTCTGATCTTTGTACCAGGAAAATCGGTGAGAGACAGAATTTGGCCTTGACTACTCTGGTTAATCAGTGGTAAATCTTTAGGCTTTTAGAGATCCTGTAATGAAAAGCACAAGATAAATATAAACTTTTTACAGAACTGTCTCTCAAATTGGGGATCAAAAAGCTTTAAAAATGTAGGTCAATATTCTTTGCAATTTTGGCCCCACATACAAAACTTGAATAGTGAGGCTATAATGATATCATTCTCTATTAAATTTAACTTACTATATATGTCATGTTGCTTGATGAAAATCTGTAGATTAAGACCAAGTATCACAGAATTCTACATTTAATTTCTATGGTGTCTGTCTGACTATTTCCTCAAACTCTCTCTCATAAAAGTATGAAAAGTTGGCCATAATATTAGCCTATGTTCAAATGATTTGAACTCTTTTGCAAATCTGGACTTACTTTCCAGTTTCCTAACCTAAATTGAGTGAGCCTTGTCTGCTTTTGTTGATTTTTTTGAAGGGTTGACATCTATTCGTGATCTAAAATAGATTATAACAAAAATCAATGTATAGCAACAGTAAAATAGGACTGCATGAGCAGAGGGTGGAGCAGTCAGTGGAATGTATACATCATACATTACGTATGACCACTAGAGGTCAGACTTTATCATCTCTTAACAATTCCTTTTCTTAAAAAAAAAAATTAATACATCCCAACTTCTAGGGTTTATCATAGAAAATAGGTGCTGAAGACAGAAAGCAGTATTGTTCTCTCCAGGATATTTTCTAGTGCTTGGATCTATCATTTAAATACCTTGTATTCTGCATCCCCTCTTCTGGGAATTCTGATGCCTTTCTGGATATTCATAGAATCACAGAATTAAAGATCATAGAAAATTAGGATTGAAAGGGACCTCAGGAGGTTACCTACTCCAACCCCCTGCTCAAAGCAGGACCATCCTCACCTAGATCATTCTAGCCAACTCTGTGTCTAGCTGGGTCTTAAAAGCCTCCAAGGATGGAGATTCCACCACCTCTATGGGTTGCTTGTTCCAGTGCTTTACGACCCTTCTTGTAAGAAAGCTTTTCCTAATATTTGACCTAAATTTCCCTTGTTGCAGCTTGAGACCATTGATCTTTGTTCTGTCATCTGCCACCATTGAGAACAGTCTAGCTCTTTGTAACTACCATTCAGGTAGTTAAAGGCTGCTACTAAATCCCTGCTCAGTCTTCTCTTCTCCAGACTAAATAAGCCCAGTTCTCTCAGCCTCTACTCATACATCATGTGCCCCGGCATCCTAACCATTTTTGTAGCCCTCCAGGGGACTCTCTCCAATCTGTCCACATCCTTTTTATAGTGGGGGGCCCAAAACTGGACATAGGACTCCAGATGTGGCCTCACCAATGCCGATTAGAGGGAAAGAATTACTTCCCTTGATCTTCTGGCAATGCTCCTACTATTGCAGCCCATTATGCTGTTAGCCTTCTTGGCAATAATGGCACACTGTTGGCTCATATTCAGCTTATTGTCCAGTGTAAATCCCAGGTCCTCTTCTGCAGAGCCAGTGGTTAGCCACTTGGTCCTCAGCCTGTACCAGTGCATGGTATTGTTCCATCCTAAGTTCAGGACTTTGCACTTGTCCTTATTGAACCTCATGACATTTCTTTTGATCTAATCCTCCTATTCGCCTCGGTCTCTTTGAATCCTAACCCTACCCCCCAGTATATCTACTACTCCCCGCAGCTTGGTGTCATCTGCAAACTTGCTGAGAGTGCACTCCATCTCATCTTCCAGGTCGTTCAAGGTATTGAATAAAACCGGCCCCAGGACCATCCCCTAGGACAGGGGGTTTCTTTTTTAACAAGTGTACCCCTTATGTCTCAAAGTTTCAGCTTGTATCCCTTTATATTAAAATTATTTGGGGGTGCTGGTAAGTCCCCACAGACAGCAGGTAAGTCTTGGGGGAGGGGAAAGGACTGTGGGGGTGGGGGCAGATCGAGGCCCCCACAGTGAGGGAGGGAGTGGGGCACAGACAGGGGGCAGGGGCTGGTGTGAATGTGGCCCTGACTGGACTGGGTAGTGGGACAACTGGAGCCCAGGTGGCTCATCCAGTTGTGCAGAGGGGACTCCTGCTGCTGTGCGCACCCTGGTGGTCGCCCAGGGGGGCATGTGCCCCCCAATCTGAGCGTGGGGTGGAGGTGGCTGCCACTGCGCACTGGGCTTTGCGTGCTGTTGCAGCTGCCCTGAGAACACTTGCATCCCACCACCGGGTGGGCAGGGGGTGCAGTGCAGCCTAGTGGCGGCAGGCATGTGGTGTCGCACTGCTCCCGGGGCAGGTGCAGCAGTGCGCAAACCTGTCCCATGCAAAGATTGGGCGGGGGCGGGGGGGGGCACATGCCCCCTGGGCCTCTGCCGGGGTGCACACAGCGGAGGTAGCCCCCCCTGTACTCCCTACAGTCTTTTTAAGTACCCCTATGGGTACGCATACCCCCGATTAACAACCACTGCCCTATGACACTCAACTTCATGCTAGCTGCCAACTAGACATCAAGCCATTGATCATCCAACACAATGTGCTAATTAATTCCCACGTCTACCATCTAGTTAATTACTTTCAGGTATCTTATGCATGTAAGAAGAGCACATCCAGATGTGGCAGGGGGCGGGGCTAGGGGGAGTTCTCATGGTTGCTCATCTTGAGCAAAAGAAATACCAATTCCTGGTGATTTTTTGTTTCTTAACTCTGAACATGTGGGGGATGCTTATGTTTTTTGTAGCCAGTGCAGGAAATATGAACTTTTAGGTGACGTGATATAATCTTGCAAGGTAGTGCAAGTAATGTAGGACCATAAATTCTGAGGTATTTAGTGCACCCACAATCATTTTATGACCTCCTCCCGGGTACATTATGGCAGAGGAGAGGCATAGCTGCGCAGCTCGCAGAATTATTGCAGTCATCCAGTGTACTGCATTATCTCCCAGCAGAATAAATTATATCATGATGCTTTCTATTGGCAGATGGTAGAGGGATGAAACAGGCTGGAGAGATGACTCTATCTGAAGCCCGGGCTAGGAGGCACAGGGGTGATAAAAGTAAAAGAAATCTTTGTTTGAGACACTATGATTAGGAATACAGCAGTAAAGTTTTGTCAGTGGATTTAGTGCCAGGTGGCAGATATAATGTGCTGGTGTTTAGAGTGTTATAGTCACAGGCCAAGTACTGTAAGGGCAGTACTGCAAATCATCCTGGTCAGTATACCTCAGCTGTTTTACAGATAATTAAAATGATTCAGGCACCAGGCCCATATTAAGTCTTTCCCTTCCCAGTTGAACTGCAACTATGGCTGCTATGCTACTTGCAGTCAGTTGTAATTCTTCTGACACAGACTGTTGTCCACAAGAACATGGAATGAGGCCATAGACTTCCATCACATAGACTGCAGACTGTTGTCAGATGATCACTTGATTTAGAGTGATCTATATGGAACTCCATAGCTGTCTTTGGCTGTCATCCCTTTTAAACCAGTAATCTAATTCTGAGGGCATGCTAAAGATCCATTCAGTTCTTCCACTCTTCCCTGGTGTCATCATACCATCATTCTGGCCAAAATGCAACAGGGAATGACTATAATTATGCATACAATCTTCCATTAGCATGCTTAATTTGTCTTGGGTCATAATAGCACTGTGACATGCTCCTTTTCTGTATTCCCAGTCATTGCTAGTTCAGAAAAAATAGTTAGAACTCAGACTAGTTCCTTTCATGTTCTCACTAGGCCACCTTGCTAGCTCAGTAACATTTTAAGTGCAACAGATCATTTTCATCCAAATTTTCTCTAAGCATTTAAACTTCCATTATTCAAATACTAACTAAACAAACTCCTTGCACAACCTCAGGTGATATTGCATTTCCCTGTGTAGGTGTTGCAGCAACACAAGTTAAACACTTGGACCACAATCTTGAAGAAATTAATTTGCTGATTAAAAATGGAACTTTAAGCAATGTGCATTTGAATAATCCATCATAAAAACAAATGAGTCTGTGGCAAGGTTTTGGAGTTGATAATCTCTTTTCTATTTAAAATTTAAATCAGTCACATTTTTTCCAATTCTGTAGCCTATGGATAAATTAATGAATTACTAATAAGGAAGCAAGAGTTTGGGCTGCAGTAGCCCTTGCCTGGAATAAATATTTCAGAGCTGTCACTAAAAGATATATTTCTGTGTTATGGACCAAGTTCCTGGCTGATTTGTACCTCAGGCAGTTTCTCTGACTTCAGTTGCAAGTTAATGTATGGGATGTAAGTTAATGCAGAGAATTTGGTCTTAGATATTTGCAAAACATTCAGAAGATGAAAGAACTATACACTGAAAAGCCAAACTAGTTCCCAGTAAAATCAGTGGAGAGGTTATTTTTGAGGTCAAGAGGAGCTGCTGGAGGGGTCCCAGGGAGCACAGTTTCCATCTGAGTTCCAACGCACTCAGATCTCTCCATAAGTGTAAGTGAACCATCAGTTGTGTCTGGGTTAATGCTCACTTTTAAGTGAAGCTGAAATATTTTTGTATGTTATCTGAATGAGAGCTATCTTGCAACCTAATGCAAATAGAACACAGAAAATGAACAGGAGAGGTCTAATGTAGCTGGAAAAAACTGTGCAAGAGACCTATACCATATATAAATGTGTGGCAGATTGTAACAGGAACTTCAAAAAATCATACAATTGTCTCTTCTCAGCACAGTACCTTTTCCTCCCCAAAATTCTGCTTGTCAGGTCTTTGTTCCATCTTCAGTACTAGATCTTTCCTCTCCAGCTCGACATAAATGTATATCCTGTGCATACCCGAGTCCCATTATGTCCCTATTTAAAATAAAACAAATCTGACTAGCTCTGGCCTTAGTATTAGCAAGCTTATATTCCTCACCTTTTGCTCCAGGTAAAATTGTGTGTGTCGAGCAGACTTCTGTTGTAGGTCGGCTGTCAACATCGAGCCCAAAAATCTGAACTTGGAAAATGAAGAGCATTACTACAGTCCCATACTTCCGCAGCTGTTTTTCCTTCATGCTGCTCATCCTTGCAGTTTCTCAGGAAATGCCTTTCGTTGTTACAGCCTTAACAAATACAGTTGATTCTAAAATAAATGCTCTGCTAACTGAGGCAGAGCAAAGACTTGGGAGTTTGCACTGGAGAGCAGCTAAATAAAGTAGAGAAAAGCAGATCATACATTGTCCAGAGTATTTATTTAAAGGTGACAGCTGTTTATTCCAATTTATCTCTTAGCTGTGAGATATTTAGGTGCAGTAGCCAGAGGAAATGTCTTCAGTATATGGGGCTATCTCGTTTAGGTTTTTCCTCTTTGTGTTTACTTAACATAGTAGAGAAACACAGGATTCCACTTATTCATATGACAAAGACTTTGATTTTGTATCCAAGGGAATGCCAATTAATTACACATGGTTTGTGTCAGGTTGTTAGCTAAGCAAATGAACTTAGATTCTTTTTCACAGATAAAGGAGACAGTTATATAAGAATCCTCCTTCTGGAGGTAAATAAGGCTCCCACAAAACAAAGGCATTATTTGTGGCTCTGCTGTGTGGGAGGGACACCTAGAACAAGCTATTGCACCTCTGGTAATCTATACAGGCATGTTCTCTGCTAGTTCAATACAGTGGGTCTGAGAGGAAAGGATGAAAGAAGGTGTGACCACTGGGTCCCTGAACCAGTAACCTGTGGTTAACCCACAGACTGCAGCTGGTACAGTGGTCCTCAGGTTGCCATAGTGGTTTCTCTGTACCCTCTTTTTTGGTAGATAATGAGAAGGGAAGCCTTGAGGGCTGAAGCCACAGAAGAGAAGATGACCCAAAAGCAGCCATGCACACTTCTGTATCCCTGTACCAGCTAGGAGAGGCAACTTCTGCAGGCGGTGAGGCTCCTCAGGCTTCAAGCTCATTCCGCTGAGTAGGTTGTCAGTCAAAGCTGCGTTTGATTTGTGTGGGGCAAGCTCAGAAGCTTCATTTGAGTTTGCGGGTCTGAAGCTAAAGCTTAGAGGTCAGACATGTAAACTGCTATGTCATAGAACTGATGTGGCTCAGTAGGATGAGCTTTAGCTAGAGTCTACAAGTTTTTAGTGCCCTTCTTCAGGTCTGTCCAGACCTGGAGAAGGGCACATTCTGTCTGAAAGCTGATCTAACATATTATGCAATAGGGCTGTGCAAAATTTTGCCAGCTGTTTCGTTTCGACACTGTTTCAACTCAATTCGAGCTCGAAGCAGTGAACTCTAAATGAAACGAAGGGCTTCAAAACATCCTCAAAGTGAAAGGAGGGCAATCAAAATGTTTTGAAATGTTTCGAGTTTCAAAACAGCCCGGCTGAGTCCCCCTCCCCTGTGCTACGATCAGGCTGGGGAAGGGAACTCAGACCACCTGATTTCCCCTCCCCAGTGCTAGGATCGGGCTGAGTTCCCTTCCCCAGCCCAATCGTAGCACTGGGGAGGGGAACTCAATTCAGCTGGGCTGATTTCCCTTCCTCATCCCAATCAAAATGTCGAAACAGCATCAAAACAGGAAAACTGTTTTGACGAATCGGAACAGAAGAGTGTTTTTGAATCGAAACAAAACTCGAATCAAAACACTGTTCCGTCAAAACGGATGTCGAAGCAGAATGCTGCTGTTTTGCACATCCTATTATGCAGTTATACAGATAGTCCAATAAAAGATATCACCAAAAAGACCCTTGCTCTTTGCCCAAGAATAAGCGCTCTCAAAATACAGTATATATTACCCAGCTGTTTCCCAGCCATTTTGGTGGAAGGGCACTGGCAGTGCTCTTGTACCTATAGCATGTTTAAGGTATTCTTGTGTCCGGTTTTGTGAATTGTAGTTGGATGAGGGTTTGAAGTGGTGATTTGGGGGATTTCTTGGATAAATGACTGCCTCAGGACACAGGGGGTTGGGCTTGATAGCTCATAAGGCCCCTTCCAGTCCTTTGTTTCCAATTGATGACTTTTTCCTCTAGGTGTGGATTTGGTTATCTAGCCTAAGCAAAAATGGATTTCCTCCACATAACGTACATACCAGCTTTTTTTATATTTTCCTCATTATTTCAGTCAATAAATTATATGGCCTTTCAGCATTCTAACAGATGGATAAGATAACAGCACCCATTCAAGGGTGTGGGGTTTCATCAGATACCTTCTCTTTAATGCCTGAAACCCTGTTGATCTCAAGTCTCAGTGTGTGTCTGGGTGAAATCTTGTCCATATTATAGTAAAAAAGCAAATCTTCCATTGCTTTCAAGGGAAGTAGAATTTTACCCCTATTCTTGTCACTAGTTGCCACACTTCCAAAAGATTCTCTTCTTCTTAATTATAATACACACAGCATCTTCAGAAATAGGTCTGGTATCTGCCCTCACAGAGCATGCAATGAGACAAATATGAGGCATGTATAAAGCAAATAATACATGGACATGAAAACAACTACACTATGGATAACATAACTGGGGAAGGACAGAGGAATGAGAGCTGGGACTAGGGCCAGACGGAGTTACACCAAGAATAAACTCAGTCCCATGTGGTTTGAATTGGGAATTGTGCCTGTGACTTCTAAATCTGCTTTATGTATCCTTTCCCCAACTTCACTTTCCATTTTGCAATCATAAGGCCAGCATAAGAGACAGAATGGATGGTGTAGGAGTGGGAACCTGGCATAGTTAGATCAGTGGAGGGATGGGGAGGAAGCATGTTAGGAAACATTGCCAAATGATATGATCTCTCCAGCAAGCCCAATAAATCTTCTAGCAATTGTTTGATGCTCATCAGCAATAAATAGCAGAAGGATGAGCGAGTCAGGAAAACACTGGCTTAGTTAGTTTGGTTGCTTACTAAAGGAAGGCAGGAAATACTTGTCTCATACTGCAAAACTTTTGGAGATTTCAGTCACCTTCCTGTTCTGAATTAGGATGAAACTAAGACCTTGCAAAGCTTTTCATAAAAAGCCAGGGAGCAGGGGAAAGCCCAAGACAGCCAGGAGTCTGGTGGTTAGAGTATTTACCTGGGATATGAGCAACCCAGGCTTAAATCCATGCTTCAAAGTGAAGTTTTGCACTGGAATCTTCCTGTCCCAGTTGAATCCCCTACCTATCCAGCTATTTGGTGTCTTCTGGCCTTCTGTGATTTCAGTCACAAATTCTGTCCTGGAACTGAGGGGGAAAAAACAATCTTCAACAGAAATTTCATCAAAAGCGGTGGTTGCCATGTAAAGTTTGGGTTTTGATGAATTAATATTTTGAAAAGTTTCACTGAAAAATTCCCAACCAGTTCTTTCGCTGTCTGAGATTTAATGAGGCATGTAGCCTGTTGTGCATTTTAATTCTCATCAAATCAGGCTCGGGGATAAAAAATAAACCGACCAGCCTTGCCCAAGCATAAAGGACATAAAACAAGCATCTCCCAGGGCATGAGCTCTCTACAAGAAAACCCTGAAAACAAACTGAAAACAGAAAACCAGGAAAGGTTCTGGGTACTTCCAGTCAGTGTATATGCATTACAGCATACTACCTGTTTAGAGTCTAAGCATTCAGTAGTTTACATGTAATCTTTACCTGAATATCCCTGAGGGATTAACCCTCAAATGTCAATATGCTATATAAAGTACAGACAACATCCTGCATAAGTTATTGCTGATTGCCAAGAGGTAGGCAGATATTAGAGCCAACATAGCCAATTAGCAGGGTTCCACATTCTGTGGTTGGGCTCAAGGTTAATACTCTGCTTGTTACCACAGGAAGACTTAGTGAGGAAAGCTCAGGATACTTTGGCAGCAGCTGTATCCCAAACTTTGTTTCTAAAGAGTTTCCCTTTATTTGGGCCATGTTGTACTGAACAGCTGTTGGGATCTGGGGGGTGTTAGAAGGCAAATACTTGTCTTTCCTAGTCTCTCCCTCTATTGCTATGGTATCTGAGATCAGCACTACCCTTGACATTTCAGCCTGCTGTCTGTGTACATCAGTGGTATTGAGTCAGTTCCAGTACTGACAACACTGGGAACTGATTAGACAGAAGGTCTGAACTGAGACACAAGGGATGGAGCAGAAGGTATGAAAACGCTGCCATCTTTGAAGGCACTATGTGATATTTGCTTTGTGTGAATATAGCCTATGAAGAGCAATTGTTAATCCAGTCAGAAAGATTGGGTCAGTGACCAGGCACTACACGTGTCTGCAAATAGTTTCCAGGAAGAACCTCATCACAACTAATGACAATGATTTTTCCAAAACCTTACTATACCAATGCAGTAATCTAAACAGAACTTGTAAGACCATTTACTGCCCTGTGGTTCTCCCAACATTATATTCAGGGAGGCAGAAGGCAGGGTGGAGATGCACCATACAGTCTAACTGAATCAGAGATGCAAAAGCTTTCTTGAGCTCCATCTGATGCTTACTTCATTATATTCAGGATGGATACATAACGTGATGGCCAAACCTCAATTCTGGCTTCTCTGGATTTTTGACAGTCCATTTGGTTTGTTGTTTGGCTGTGTCTCAGCTTTGGGTAGCCTCTATTCACACTTGCATGGGTGCATTGCAGCCTTGTGTTCCTATGCCAGGATTTGCAAGATCAAACCTACATTTTTTAGCTATTTCAGTGTGTAGAATGAAGATAAGACTCTTCCTAATTAGAATCCGCTTTGGTAAGATGTACAAGATCTGAGTCAACAGGTCGTTATGATGCTTACTGAGATCTCCCAGAAAACGCATCCAATTTATCTTCATACCTGTTCTTGATCTAGCAACTGGCCCCTGGAAACTTTCACTTTTCCTAAGAAATTATTCTGGCTGACAGTTGTATCATCATGAGACTTCATGAAAGGACTGAGACTAACTTGTCTCATCATTGTTTTGCAGGGGAGAAAGTAAGGAATTCAAAGTCTGGTTACAAATGTAACATAAGGTGAAATATTGTAAATGCTTTGTGAAAGTGTTGGCTTAAGTGCAGCTTAATTCAGTGTCAGAATCAATTTAGCAAACAACAGGGCAATGATTCAGTTTCAGTGGAAGACTTACAAAATAAACTCTGGCTTTTGCTGACCTGATGTAGAGCTGAACAGTGTCCTACCCTGGGAAAATATTTCCTGTTTCATTTTCATAAATATTTATGTAATTTCTTCTGGGAAACGTATCTTCTTCAGAAAACTGAGCGCTCTGATTCCTGGCACACAGTTAGCTGTTTACATTTGAAAGACTTGGGATATGTATGCTTGAAATTTTTAATTTCTCCTCTTGTCCATCCCTTCTCTATTTCTTTAAATTCTTTTTTCCCCTTCAAGAAACCTAATGATGAGCCTGAGTCACAGAAGTTTGGATCCACATCTGGAGTCTGAACACTCCAGAGGTTACAGAGGCATTTTAGGCTATAGAGATAGGGGTTCAAGTAAAATCCAGGCCAGAATCAGAGCTTCCCTCCTACCCCTCCATTAAAAGGTCTCTCTTTGGAAGCTTATCTCTAAACAAAGTGTACAATCAACAAAAAGGACTTTCAGGGTATGTGACAAGCATTTATAGCTGGAAAGAGACTAAAATCCACTGCTTCAAGCCTAAATGGCACTAATCTGCTGTCCTTTA